CCTAGAAAAATGTGAAAATTTGTTTTAAAGCTACAGTATGCACAATACTGATACTATTAAGAACCATATGTAGACCTTAAACTTCAAACACTTTGCACTGATGTCTGTGGCTTAAGAGTCTATATTTATAAGTTGTACGTAGAACTTCTGAATTCTATTTTGAATTCTTCTACAGTGATTAGATAGTTTTGAGTATTGAAATGTATTTGTCTAGATATTATGTCACTGGAATATTACATAAAACTACAACTTTCTGTTTTAGAGATACATTCTGAAAACTTTGTTCCAGATAAAGCCTTGGATACTGCAAACAATGTAATGCAGATTTGTTTTATGCAGTATTTTACAGTAAAGTATTTCTAATTCTTCTATCAAAAGTCTTAAAGTATACAAATAGTTAATTTTCCATTTATATAAGTAATTATGTTAAAAAGAAACAAGTATTAAACCCATGGTCATTTAAGTAATACAGATATATTTCTAGAGCAATATATGGACATGGGTAAATTAAAAAGAAAAAATATATTTCTGTGTACTAGAAAGATACTGCTAATGTGCAGCACATTCCTGTGTAAGTTTACTGGAAATCCCTGCTTTTAGAGGGCTTAGTCTCAGAAACTCAAAATATAAGTTTTGAGCCATAGTTTCACTAATAGCAGTTATCACTACTATTATCATAGAAGCTGTGAAAGAGAATATGGAAGTAATAAAATGAATGGTTGATCCTCAGACTGCTCTTCCTGTTAAAGTTTTGTTATAATAAAGAGATCCAAAGATGACTTCAAGGTTATAATAGAGTTCCTAGGAATTATTTGTCACTGAACTTAATTAGACTTAAGTATATTGTTATATTGAAACTGCACCCATCCTTAATTGTGTTAGGCCTTTCAGTTGACTATGTACCAAGTAGACTATTTAGAATTATAGCTTTCAGTAAATTTTAGACTACGTTAAAAGTGCTCGGCTCTTCATAACGCAAGATCGTTTATCTTGATAATATCTTATTGTATACATTTTTGTCTGAATTTTGGATCTCACTTAAAGTTTGTGACTTACATTTTGAAATCCTGTATGAATAAGCGATTACTTTCTTTACTGTAGTTTTGTACTATATGGTGTAGACATTGTAATATCTACTAGAAATAAACATCTGTATAGTTGTAGTGTTATTTAAACATACTTTTAATGAATAAGAACGTAATACTTTCTTGAATAAAAAGTAATTTTATTCTTCATAAAAGGTCAAAGTCATTTTATTTCAGACTTTGACAGCATAAAATATTTGACAATTAAAAGCTGATAAAACTAGTCTCCAGCCCAGTGAATTTCCCATGATTAGAAGTGTAGTGGAAAAACCTTCAGAAGCACATTACATGCTATTTAGCTGGTCTGAAAGTTGTTTTCTGTATAAAGTGATTCTCAGCACAGTCTACCCTTTTCCTTTAGAAAGTACCCATTCAGTAGTTATGTAGGCCTTCTCCAGTCATCAGTAAAAGTAAAGCAAATAAATAAATTTTCTCCAGTTTTACAAATATTCTTCATGGATACATTTTAGAATTTAGGACACAGTGGCCTGATTTCTTGTTAGAGATAGCTAGGTAATGCTGCTCCTTACAAATTCTTTCCCCTCTTCTTGCAGACCTAGCAGTCTGCCAGCTCTGTAGTGGGA